CCCAATTAACAAGTGTTTTAGTGACCCAAACTGTAACTGACTTTCCAATAGGACAGTTTGAAGAAACCCAATTAATGGGTGTTTTAATGACCCAAACTGTAACTGACTTTCCAATAGGACAGCTTGTAGGAACCCAATTAATAGGTGTTTTAATGACCCAAACTGTAACTGACTTTCCCATAGGATAGCTTGTAGGAACCCAATTAATGGGTGTTTTAATGACACAAACTGTAACTGACTTTCCAATAGGACAGCTTGTAGGAGTCCAATTAATAGGTGTTTTAATGACCCAAACTGTAACTGACTTTCCAATAGGACAGCTTGTAGGAACCCAATTAATGGGTGTTTTAGTGACCCAAACTGTAACTGACTTTCCAATAGGATAGCTTGTAGGAGTCCAATTAATAGTTGTTTTAGTTATCCAAACTTCACATATTCTTGGTTTTGTTAGAAGAACAATATCAAAGGTTATAACATCATGACAATTATCCCATCAGGTAAACGTAACAGTGGTTGGAAGATCATCATGAGGGAACAAGGAAGTGGTGAATGTCCTACTCTATTTGTATCCAAATAGTATAAGTAATACAGAAATACTAGTAAGATGAAAACCACATTTTCAGACTAATTCTACTTGAACACTGTCTGTGTGGACTTGGAAATTAAATCTGAGTTCATCAATTTCACATTTATTTATGGTTAATTTATAAGAAAAACAAATTATTAAAAGAACAAACGTAACTATTACACCACTCAAAGGTGTGTGTGCCACAATCAACAGTATTTTAGTGTCTGTCACAGTCAACAGTATCTTAGTGTCTGTCACAGTCAATAGTATCTTAGTGTCTGTCACAGTCAACAGTATCTTAGTGTATGTCACAGTCAACAGTATCTTAGTGTCTGTCACAGTCAACAGTATCTTAGTGTATGTCACAGTCAACAGTATCTTAGTGTCTGTCACAGTCAACAATATCTTAGTGTATGTCACAGTCAACAGTATCTTAGTGTCTGTCACAATGAACAGTATCTTAGTGTATGTCACAGTCAACAGTATCTTAGTGTATGTCACAGTCAACAGTATCTTAGTGTCTGTCACAATGAACAGTATCTTAGTGTCTGTCACAATTAACAGTATCTTAGTGTATGTCACAGTCAACAGTATCTTAGTGTATGTCACAGTCAACAGTATCTTAGTGTCTGTCACAATGAACAGTATCTTAGTGTCTGTCACAATTAACAGTATCTTAGTGTATGTCACAGTCAACAGTATCTTAGTGTATGTCACAGTCAACAGTATCTTAGTGCATGTCACATTCAACAGTATCTCAGTGTCTGTCACAGTCAACAGTATCTCAGTGTCTGTCACAGTCAACAGTATCTTAGTGTCTGTCACAGTCAACAGTATCTTAGTGTATGTCACAGTCAACAGTATCTTAGTGTCTGTCACAGTCAACAGTATCTTAGTGTATGTCACAGTCAACAGAATCTTAGTGTATGTCACAGTCAACAGTATCTCAGTGTCTGTCACAGTCAACAGTATCTGTCACACTCAACAGTATCTGTCACACTCAACAATATCTTAATGCATGTCTCAATCAACAATATCTTAATGTATGTCTCAGTTAAATGTATCTTAGCATCTGGCTCAGTGAATGGTGTATTGGTGTTTGTACGGGAATTTACAACATTTAAATTATCTGGTACCAAAAAATCTCATGGTTAAATTATCTGGCACCAAAAATCTCATGGTTAAATTATCTGGTACTAAAAATCTCATGGTTAAACTATCTGTTTCCAAAAATCTCATGGTTATATTATCTGGTACCAAAAATCTCATGGTTACATTATCTGGTACCAAAAATTTCATGGTTATTTTATCTAGTTACAAAAATCTCATGGTTATATTATCTGGTACCAAAAATCTCATGGTTATATTATCTGGTACCAAAAATCTCATGGTTACATTATCTGGTACCAAAAATTTCATGGTTATTTTATCTGGTAGCAAAAAATTCATGGTTATATTATCTAGTTTCAAAAATCTCATGGTTAAATTATCTGTGACCAAAAATCTCATGGTTAAACTATCTGGTTCCAAAAATCTCATGGTTATATTATCTAGTTCCAAAAATTTCATGGTTAAATTATCTGGTTCCAAAAATCTCATGGTTAAATTATCTGGTTCCAAAAATCTCATGGTTAAATTATCTGGTACCAAAAATCTCATGGTTAAACTATCTAGTTCCAAAAATTTCATGGTTAAATTATCTGGTTCCAAAAATCTCATGGTTAAATTATCTGTGACCAAAAATCTCATGGTTAAACTATCTAGTTCCAAAAATTTCATGGTTAAATTATCTGGTTCCAAAAACCTCATGGTTAAATTATCTGGTACCAAAAATCTCATTGTTAAACTATCTGGTTCCAAAAATCTCATGGTTAAACTATCTGGTTCCAAAAATCTCATGGTTAAACTATCTGGTTCCAAAAATCTCATGGTTATATTATCTAGTTCCAAAAATCCTCATAGTTAAATTCTGAACAATAACTTTCAGTAGCCCTAGTGCACAAACTCAATAACAAATATTAGAAGACTTGTGTTAACTTAAAAACATAGCTAAAAACGTTTTATTAATCCTGGTATTTTGTTTTTCTACTCTGGAAAATCATCTTTTCAGAATTCGAAAAAACGAAGCGACCTCCGGTGCCATATTGAAATCTCAAGTTACAGTGGATTCTGTTGGCAGGAGCGACTCAGCTCTGTACACATGCACGGCGTCTAATGACTATGGATCAGACGAATCCAACATCCAGTTGATTGTACAAGGTATTTTTTTGTAATAAGCACAAGTTACAATATTAGCGTATATTAACTGAGACGTTAACGTTCCAGATCACATAATGTTCTTGAAGCACAAACTACACAAGTTACAATATTAGCGTGTATTAACTGAGACGTTAACGCTCCGGATCACATAACGTTCTTGAAGCACAAACTATACAAGTTACAA